AGCAAGTATGACAAAAAATGACAAAATTTCCCAGGGGAACCCACCCAAGGGATTAATAAAGTTTTATCTTATCTTATCTCTTATCTTATGTAGCAGAGGTCATGGCGAAAATAGAGGGGTGGCCCTGCGAGGAAAGAACAGAAAGTCACTACATGCTTAAGTTGTCATACCCGCTTTTATGCTGTGCGTGCTTTTATGATCTGTATGTAAGACAAAAGGTTACATTCAAGTCGCTGGCACGCTGTCATCTGGAGCTTTGTTTACTTGCTCAAAAACAAAGAGAATTTCAGATGGGACGTGCTTGGCACCATCACCCGACATTCACAAAGGTGCGTCAGGTGTTCTGTTGTAAAACTCAAGTAGCCTCTTTTAACATTGCATTGAATCTAACCGAAAAGGTCGATTAGCTCACGCAAAACTGTTAGATCACACTTCATGTAGCATCAGTATTCAAAGCCACACTGGACCTCTTTCTAACTACAGAAGCCAATATTTTCTTTTAAATTTTAGTGTTACTATCTTGAGGTACAGAAATGATAGAGTTTGTTCATAAAAAAAAGTTAAAATGTGATTACAAATGAGTTTCTCTTTCTATTGTTGGGGGGGGACTTATAGTATGTACTAGTGGTGCAACGGATCACGGTTGATCCGTAATCCCAACCGATCCCAACCGATCCCACTCCCACTTTTTTTTGCTGATCCGAAAATTGATCCGATCCGTGACTTAAAACCGTGATCCGATCCGAACCGTGAGATTTTTGATCCGTTGCACCACTAGTATGTACTGTCTAGTAACTGTAGCCAGCGTGTAATTAAATCCAGAGCCAAAGAGGAACATTTTGCACAGTAACAACAGTGAGTATCTCAGAAAAATAAGTCTGTGAAGGTTCTCAGTCATCCAGGTCATCGTAGTCTAAGGAGCTTGGCAAGAAAAGTGTCTGGACATCCTTGAGTTGCTTGAAGACGTTTCACCTCTCATCCGAGAAGCTTCTTCAGTTCTAAGGTCAAATGGTGGAGAGTCCCAGATTTAAACCCAGTGGGAGTTTCCCCCCAAAAGGGACAATGGACCCCCTAATGATCCTCTACCTAATCACCTGAGCCAAGGTGTGAAAGCGGGTGTGGGTCACAATCAGCCATGGTTTCGTGTGAGCTCATTGTGAAACCTGGCCCCACCTTATCATGTGATTTCCTGAGGTTGGATGGTCCAGGATGTGGGCCACTTCACAAGCGCATGGCACAACATAGAAGAGCCACATCCACGGGACAAGACTCAGCAGTTCATTTGTATCTAAAGGACAAAGGTCACTCTTTCGAGGACGCCAACGTTCACATTTTGGACAGAGAGGACAGATGGTTTGAAAGAGGAGTGAAAGAAGCCATCTATGTCCACTGTGAGCGACCATCTTTGAACAGTGGCGGTGGTTTACGACACCAACTGTCTGCCATCTATAATCCAGTTTTGAGATCCCTTCCCAGACGCCTTAACGCCCACTCACATCCTGGGCCATCTGACCTCAGGAAATCACATGATAGGGTGGGGCCAGGTTTCACAATGAGCTCACACGAAACCCTGGCTGATTGTGACCAACGCCCGCTTTCACACCTTGGCTCATGTGATTAGGTAGAGGATCATCAGGGGTCCTTTGTCCTTCTTTGGGAGGAAACTCCCACTGGGTTTAAATCTGGGACTCTCCACCTTTTTTTTTTTCCGATCATGGGGCCACCACTCTACCTACTGAGCTATCCCTGCCCCCTTGACTGACTCCCCTGACTCTCCACCTTTTTGACCTTAGAACTGAAGAAGCTTCTCGGATGAGAGGTGAAACGTCTTCAAGCAACTTAAAGAAGTCCAGACGCTTTTCTTTCCAAGCTCCTTAGACAGTCCAGGATCAGGAAAACGTCTGATATAAAAAAGAGTTATATCTAAACTTGTGGCTAGAAAATGGGTGTAGGTGACGGAAGTTCATCTACAAAAGGAAAAAAGAAAAGACAGAAAATGCATTTTTATGGATTCATTTTACACGTGCGGACAAAAATGCCTCCGCTGAAGAAATCTCAATAAAGTAATCCCCTTTCATGCAAACAGTGTTAAATTATAGTACAATAAGCAGCTTTGTGATATAAAATAAGTCCAGCTTTTCCTTTAGTTATTTTGCAAAAAAGAAAGTGTGTGTCACTGTTAGATTGCAGCAATCTGTTTGTTTTATTTATTCTTTTATTTTTTTCAAGGACTAAGGACAGAGGACCATACAATTTGGACTTCACAATCTTCACAAGCCCTTTAATTACAGTAATTACAGGCACTGTAAGAGCTAGTATCTCTCTAGCAGCTTGGGATTACTTGACCCTTGAACCTTTTCACACTAAAGCTGCTCCACGCTTCCTCACAGGAAGTTTTTATAAAATGAAAGCTTAGCTCCCGACAGCTGATCATCTGCATTTTCACTGCAGTCTAAAGACACTGGAAGATGAGGCAATTTAGTGCACTCTTATCAGAAAAAAAGCAATGTCTGCTCTACATTTGGGAATCTGCTCTGTTCTTGTGTCAGATCTGTGTGTCTGCGGACATCGAGCGCTGTAACCGCACAGGAAGCAGAGAGGCCACAGCAGTCAGATGAAGCTTCAGCCACATTCACACAGAATCTGGTAATGTAGCGTCTTCTGCCGTGGTTACATGGAGGTGTGGGTGTGTTTGTTTGTGCTTTATAATGTAACCTCTGCTAAGCAAGCAGAAAATAAAGTTTTATTTCAGCCATTCACACCTTTGTTCTCATTAAAGCTCTTGTTTTCCCTTGACTCTCTAGCTCACTTGACCACCATAAATCAACCATGAGGAGGGCAAGTCTGAGTGTTGTGTTTACAAAAAGGAACTTGATTTTTACCCAGAAGATGAGATTGTTGACCATGCGGAAACCTTTGGGACTGAAAAATAAAGGCCAAAAAGTTCTTCTAGTGGCCACCTGAGGTTGGACTCCAAAAGCAGGTTCATGCCCACTCATCCTGATGTTTAAATATCCAACTTTACAGCATCATCTTTACTGCCTAGTGCAAAAAGTGGTTTTGATCAGGCCTTATTGGATGTTAACAACCTCATAGCACCATTTGAACCCAATAGAGTACTTCACTCTCATACTGCTGGTTTACTTTGGTTCCTACAGTATTTAAAAGTAGAATGGGAGGCAGAGCTTTCAGCTTTCCGCTCCCAGTTTGGATTCAGGAGACAGACACTCTCTGTACTTTTAGAATTGGGCTTAAAAATGTTCTTTTTAATAAAACACAGTTAGGGCTCCTGTAGATATCCTGCAACAGGCTTGGGCTTCTTACCACGACGCATTATTTGTTTTTACTTCACTCACTGTTTTTTACTCACTGTGTGTTTATAGTACATTTTGCTTTTAATCATTACTTACTATTAATCTCTGGCTCTCCTCTACAGTGTGTCTTTATCATATCTTCCCCCCCTCACCCCCAACCATTCATGGAAGACGGCTGCCTTTCCCTGTGTCTGGTTCTGCTGGAGGTTTCTTCTTGTTAAAAGGGAGTTTTTCCTTCCCACTGTCTCCATGTGCTTGCTCATAGGGATTCATCTTATTATTGGGGGTTTCTCTTTATTATTGCAGGGTCTTTACCTTACAATATAAACCACTTTGACACAATTGCTTCTGTGATTTGGCACTATATAAATAAAAATGAATTGAATCTAGTTTTTCTGCTTCAGAAAAAATTTGAAACACAGAGTTTGTTTCAAATTTTGGTGCATGAAATTAAAGACTTATAAAGCCTGTTAATTAATAATCTCTGTCTCTGCACTCATACATCGCATGGATGCAGCTTGCTAACCAAGTGTCTTAGTGTTTATATATTCATAGTCATAATGATATATTGACCACATAATCCAAATACGGTGATTTCTGGTTTGAAAAAAAAAACAGAAAACTCACATGACAGTGGCAAAAATGCTAATGATTAAAAATGAAAAATCCTGCCACAAGCATGAAAGTGGCTTTTTGTATCTTTTATGAAATCCTGAAAACACCACCAGTAGTTTACCACTGAAACTTCGTAAAAATGAAAAAACACTACTCCGAATTAAACTGGGATGTTTTTGGTGTAAAAAAAATTAACTGGAACTTTTTCAGACCTGGAAATTTCTCAAGTTTCCAACTGAAGTTGGAGTACATCGGAACTGAACGTCTACCATACCGTTGTGTTGCCCTGCATGTTATTTCGTGAAGTCAGATTCGCTTTTTTGTTACGCACGTTTATTTTCTCCACCCCCCTGATCTGCTTCTAATTCAGTCAGTGTTTCTTCTGCATTTTCCAGAATTACTTTCAACAACTCCCAGAGAACTTGCCTGGCCTTTGGCTTACACTTTTATTTATAGATGCAGCGAGCAATACAGCATACTAATCACAATACTAAGAGCAGAAGCGCGTTTTCTCTCGCTGACTTGCTTCTTCAACTCACAAGAGCAACACTGGGTCTTTTGGAGCTGCTGACAAAATTGGAGACGTGGGCGGCAATTCAAAGGTCTATCCTAGTGTTTACCAGTGATGTTTTAGATTGCTGATATTTTTCCACTTGAATTAACCTCTTGAACCCAGATATTACCCTCAAATAGTGCCAGTATTATAAAAGCATTTTACTTCAATTTATAGTAGACTACTGTAGAAAAACAGATTTTCTCTGCTATATGGACACTTTGTTTAAAGGATGCTTCTGTACAAGTTTCTTATATTTGGGGACAATAACCACATGTGATGTGCAACTTTAAATTTCAGTGGAAATATGCTCACATTTGTGAAGTTTTTTTAATACAAAATAAATATTGACATTCAGCATGGTGTATCCCTCTTACACACCCTACAGCCCACAGATGGCAAAAAGACCTTAGTCTAAACTCATTGTCATTCACCATTTCCTCGCTTTCCTTTACTCTCCGCGCTGTCATTAAACAGGGCAGGTGAGTGGCGGCTGATTACCAAACATCTTTTCCTACCTTTGATCTCCTGAGGTGTGGGGCTCTAATCCATCTTGCAGCACAGGAGGCTGTCTGATCTAGGTGGTTGTGGTAGCCACTTAGCTCCTCCTCATCTCACATACACATATAGTATGTGTCCCCGGCTCTTGCAGAGGGTACACACACAAGGAAAAGAAGATGGAGCTGCTACTTACAGGCACTCTGTATGAGAGAAAGGGAGGGGGAGGGGGAGGGGGGGGAGAGAGAGAAAGAAATATGAGTCAGAGGAGAGAAAGAAAAAAATGAATAGGTTTATTTGAAGCGCATACACACAGACTATAACCAGGTAATCTAAGCCTTTAAATTGCACCGGGCATCAAAAGATGTATACATTTTTGTTTTTTTGTCCTCCTCAGGATCCTTAGGTAACTACATATTTTCAAAAGCAACCACATAATGCATTTTAAATCAGGTTTGTGATCAGGTAACTCCCATTGCAGTCCAGATATTAATGCTGAGGACATCCATTTATCTCGCATACAGTAAGTTTGAAATCTGCACAGTTTCAAAGTTCACAGTCCCAATTTGCTGATGGTCTTGTTTTACTGTTTGTCCCTTACTCAGCTAGATCCCCTTCCTCTTTATAAAGCACATCCAACATTTTTCACACTGTCACCGCACATACTTTGAGCAGCTTTGGGAGCTCATCAGCATTCAAAACAACACCTAGCACCCAATATTCCAAGACAATTTTTGCAGTAAATGAGAAAGCAAATGTCACTTCAAGATGAACATTAATCTCATGTCATTGCATTTTAATGGCACCCTTACTCAGGGGGGAATTAAACCTCTCCCCAGAGATCAACCCCAGCGCTTTGCACCACAGTGAAATTGTCGTCTTTTGTTAGCAGATTCAGTACCTGCCATGCAACTTTCAGCACACACCAACTTACCATGCTTCCTTTGAGTGAACATAAACATCAAGTCATGGAGAGCACTTGCTGAAAGCTACATTTTCTTTGTCATAAGCAGAGCTTGCAGCAGCCCACTGTGATTGTCAGAGTTCTAAGAAAATGAATTATAAACAATCTGACAGACAGTACTGCATTCAAATGACCTTTGTGCACACTTCTTTTTTTGGCTGCCCACTATAGTGGATCCATTTCCATCTCACCTTATCGTTAGCATCGTCCTCTATCATTCTAACCTTTTGCATGTCCTCTTTCACTACATCCACAAAGTCTTCGTCTTTTTCTCCTTCCTGGCAGCTCCACATCTGACATCCTTTATCCAAAATATCCACTCTCCCTCCTCTGCACATGTTTAGACAATCTCAGCCTTGCCTCTCTAACTTTGTCTCCAAAAGGCTAAACCTGAGCTGTGCCTCTGATACACTTATTTCTAATCTTGTCCATTCTGGTCACTCCCAATGAAATCTGCAGCATCTTTAAACTCTGCCACCTCCACCCCCAGCTCCGCCTCCTCTCTTTTTGTCAGCCAAACCATACATCAGAGGTGGTCTCGCTACCATCTCGTAAACCTTCCCTTTCACTCTTGCCGCTATCCTTCAGTCACAAATCACCCCTGATACTCCTCTCCACCCACTCCACCCTACCTGCGCCCTCTTCGCAACCTCTCCTGTGCACTGTCTGTTAATTTTGGATGGTTGACCCCAGGTTTTTAAACTCTTCCACCTTCACTTCCTCTGCTCTTGGATCTTCACTGTTAGAAATGCCCTATGTGCTCCCATCTTCCAAAAAATCCTATTATGCAGCCAATAGAAAACAATTTGGTTCTGGTAGTTTGTCTCTTGTAGATTTCATATTTTGCCCATTCCTCAGTAGGAACGCTCTACTATATAACAGATACTGCTACTGTGCAATGATAACAGACACAGAGAGATACTGGGAGCACTGCTACTCCATCAGCTTAGATTTGTCCTGAAAGTCCTCCGGTGGCAAAGCTATTTTACAAAGATGAATCAATTGTTGTGCTCAAAGCGATGTTTCATTCGGCCCGGAAATCCACTTGTCTCTAATTACTTGCAAAAAGTTTGAAAGAATATATGCATCTTATGCATTTAGCTTTAGAGTATTATAGTAGGAGCAGAATAAAAGGTTAGATCAAATGAATATCTGGAGCTCTTGGAGGGGATGTGGGATAAATAGTAATAGGAAAACTTTTGAAGTGCTGACATATGTAAAGTTTCAGCAAAAAGGATATTGTTGCTGAATGTTCCTTCGCCCTGCTCTCCCCTCCAACTCATTTCACTCCCTCTTCCTCCTTTTTTATTTCTGTTCTTTTATCTGCCTTAAAGCTTTAGGCTGCTGTATACAAGCCAAAGGTACAGAATCCATTTCCCACCAAAACACTGCCCAGAGGACTCAAATCTCTATTGTACGACCTGCCCTACATTGAATAAACTGGGCTATTGCTCTCAAATGTCATCATGTGGAGATATTTCACATCATGTACTGTGGACTGTGGAATACACTAAATTAAAACATGAAATAAAGAGAACTATGTTCTGAATGCTTAAAAGTTAAAAAGTACCAGAACTACTAAGAGCTTCCCATCAGTAAATTTGTTTAAAAAATAAAAACATGTGTTTAATTTTATATATTTATCTGACTAAATCCCCTGAGATGTACATGTGTGCAAATAGCTACACCATGACACGTGCATTTAGTATGTTAAAAGAATTAATCCACCCTGTTTTGGTGGAAAAATGTTTGTGAGCGGTATGCTTGTGATGTAGTAAAAACACCCCTGATGAGCAAGCTGCAGGGTGTATTTTAAAATATACACAACCACTGCAGAGCCAAAGCTACATTATGAGAAGACCTTATGAAATTGTTCTCATGTATCTTGGACCATCTGCACAGCAAGATGATTACCCTTAGGCTTCAGTCTTCCTGCACGTTCTCAACTCTAAATTTGTAAGTAGTAATTGCAAAAACAGTGGGTAGATAAAGCTCGCAGATAAAATGTTCAGAAACATATTGAACATCATAAAAAAACATGCATATTGTTTAATTAGGAAGTTACAAAGTTACTCGATCCATCCCTTTCTATAACCCCAAACCTAAATGAGCCAAAGGCAAGTCAACACTCCCGTGGTAAAGGTTTATGACAAACAAGCATATCGTAGCTGTGGAAGAACAAATAGTGGGTGATTTATCAGCACTGAAAAATAAGCCTCATTTTTACACTGGTCTTTATTTTTACCACAAGAAAAAAAATCTATTTCAGTCATAATAAAATTAGTAATGGCTGAATTTAATTGAGACGCTTATTATTATTAATATTATTATCATTACAAGTAACATCTGTGCTGTTTCTGCAATAGATTTTGCAAAATCAACACTATTTTTCTCCCACCTATTTAGGAAAATCATCATATCTTATGCAAACAAACAAGCAAACAAACTGCTACTTTTATCCCACTCTAACTGCAGTTGCAAGTGTAGTTGCACCCCAAACATGTACCTATATTGGTGTGTGGATACGTCAGTGCAATTTAAAGTGTACTCATACATTTTATTTATAGCCTGTAAGTCAAAGTCACCAGAAGTTTTTTTTTTTAACCTTACCTTCCTCTACAAATGAGAAGCTGTCCAAACTCAACTTGTAAAAAATGCCCTCAAAAGCAGTTTTATGATAATTTACCTTTGAATATGTTTTGAGCATTGCAATAGTACATGACATATGCAGATTGATATTTCACCATGAAATCAATGCAATATGAAAAGGGCAGGAGAGAGGTATGGATTTTTCTGTTTTTGCTTTGGCACGATCATCAATCCCTATAGGTGATCAGGGAAAAGGGGAGAAAAAGGGAAGGATGAGCGAGAGAGCCGCTAAGAGTTGCTGCACTGTACCCACTACAGTGCAGTAAAGCGACCCACCACTCTGACATTTGTTTTAGCAGAAAACATTGCAGCAACAACTATGATCAAAATTTCTAACCTAACGATTTTAGGACACCCTCATGCAGGTTTGGACACAAAACAGGAACACGTATTCTGAGTGTCTGTATCTGGACTTATAATGAACTCTTTTTAAGGTGTTATAAACATTTTCACTTTGTTGTGCGAACTTTCCCTTCAACCTATAAACTAATGTATATTGGTTTTAATGCTCAAAGGATTGGATGATCAACAGAAAATGTCTGTATTAATCACTTGTGTGTAATTTTGCATTGCAAATAACATCAACGTGACCTAATTTTATCTTTGACGATTTGCTCTCAATCTTATTTGATAGCAAATTAACCATCTTTGGGTGTTTCGCCTTTTGCCTAAAAAGAAAAAGAAAATACCAAAGAATAGCTAGAACAAGATAAGACATTGTATTAGTTCCAGCTGTTATTTGACTCTGACCAGAAAAAAAAAGATCATATTAAACTCCTGTAATGCAATAAAGAGCAAAAAAACAAAACAAAACAAGCCAAAGCTTCATAACAACTAGTTAGTGATTCTTGGTGTTTTAAAATGAGCTGAGCTAAATTTCAGTCTGCAAATGCAAAGATAGAAGACTTTCAGAATAAAGGTATCAGTTTATTTGGAAGCAGACACTCATAAGTTTACCACTAGAGAGCACCACTCTGGATGATATATCACAGACTGAATTTAAAGTAGTAAATCGGGAGAATGATGCATCCCCTAAGGCACTTTTTTTGTTTTCTAATGTTTCTAACTTTGAGATTCTTGGTCTGCCAGTCAGCTTGTGGTCAGATCTGCCAACTCTGTTCTTAATACTGAACTCTGTAGCTTTGCCTCTAGTTATGAAGGAATATAGCTTCCTATCGGTCTGTGCCATGACCCCAATTGGAGAACCATATTCAATGCAACACACAGGAGAGATGAGAGGCGGCAGGAAGCTGCTCAGGCTGGCTGCCGGGGATAGATAATGCTTTTAGAATTCACAAGCTGTCATCACACCGTCCCCGATACTAACCCATCCCACTCCACTTCCATCAACCCCCAGGTGGCAAAGGGACATTAGGTGAAAAGTTCTACGCAGCGATACCATAAATATGCAGGCATGAAGAAACAAATCCTCACCGTTTTAGCTAACAACCCACACGTTACTGTGTGCTAAATATGGCCCGATTCAGGCAGGCAAACAGATTTAATCAAAACAAAGCCGTAATCCTTCCATTGTTTATTAATCTAGCGGCCAGAACGTTTTTGTCAACATTTTCGGTGACAAATTTCAGT